CAGCAGTGTATTTCAGTCAGTCTGCCTGTTCTGTTCCCCGCTCTGTCTCTGGTGAACCCTCTCACCCCCCTCACTGGCCTATACCCCAGTTCTTGTATTCATAAATAAATAAATCTTAAAAAAAAAAAAAAAAGAAATGGCAAGAGAAGATAAACGCCAGGGATTTCAAATCTGGTGCCAACAACCAGGCTGGCAGACACAAGAGGAGAAGGAGGCTGTGGGGATGACAGGATGCCAGTTCGGCCTGGGAGGTGCTGAGTTTGGTGTCTTCCCAGAATGGCAGCTGGAAGCTGGAGTGTGGGACTGTGGAGAATATGAGGCCAGGCTCAGCCTGCGAGTGCGATCCAAGAAGGGCCAGTTGGGAGCCTGGAACGGACTGTCTGAGCAGAGGACAAAGAATAAGAGGCTGAGGGAGCTCAGGTCTGGGGAAATGCCTCATGTGGAGGTGCAGACAAAGCTGGAAGGTCAGGGAAGTAGAAGGGAGCAAGGAGAGGACGATGCAGGCAGAGCCCAGGCAGGAAACACCAGAGCTGAGGCTCGGGAGCTCAGTGGGTGGGGAGGCATGGGGCAGGCATGGAGAGGCCACCTGCCTCTTGGAGGTGGCCAGCGAGGGTCCAGGGTTGTGCAGAGCAGTGAGAGCACAGGGGACAGGGGCAAGACTTGACTATGTGTGGGTGGAGGGGAGGCCTACAGCATCTCTCCAGCCCCTCTTCTTCTCCTTTGCGCTGGCCAGAAAGACCTTCTAGGCTTCTGGGTCTCCAAGTTCATTCCCTGCCTCCTTTGCACTGCTGGCCTCTGCTTGGCAGGCTCTGTCCTCAGCCCTCCCACTTCTCACGCCCTACACTCTTCAGCTTATTACTCACAGATTTCCTCCTCATCAAAAAGTCCTAACCTGAGAAATTGTAAAACGGTGCAGCCACCATGGAAGACAGTGTGGAAGCTCCTCAGAAAAAATGATAAGCAATCACCATGCACTCAGTGGTTCTCCCTCTGGGGGTTCGCACAGAACTAAAAACGGGCTCCCAAGAGGCACCTACACACGTCCACAGCAGAATGTCCCAGGAGCAGAACCCGGAGTCACCCAAGTGCCCACTGATGAGAACGGATGGACCATGCGGTTAATGCACACAACGGAATATTCGGTCTTAAAAAGGAAGGAAACTCTGACACTTGTGGACCTTGAGGAACGATGCTCAGTGAAATAAGCCAGTCACGGAAGAGCAAACGCTGTAGGATTCCACTTCTAAGGGGTGGCTTGAGGAGTCAAATTCACAGACAGGAAGCAGGAGGGGGTTGCCAGGGGCGGGGAGGGAAGGGGCTGGAAGTTACTGATTAATGGGGACTGAGTTCCAGCTGGGGAAGAGGGGGTGGAGGGTAGTAAGGGTCGCACAGAAATGGGAACACTCAGTGCCCCTCAGTCACATGCCAAAAAAATGGCTACGATGGTGGATTTTACGTGGTATGCACTTTAACACAATTTTTAAAAATTGAAAAAATTTATGAAGATCAATTAAAAAAATCGGGAACCTCTCTAGCCTCCCTGTGCAAGCGCCCCCCACCCCCATCACCAGGGCTGGTTTGTTGGGCTGCGGGTTTCGGAGCTTGTCACCACCCGGCTGGAGGTTCATCTCCTCCAGCTCCACCAGGGTAGGGGGGCACCCATGGGACTTGGGGTGTCTGGCACAGAGAGGGCACTCAGTAAGTACTTAGAGAAAAACCTTCAGTCGAAGAAGAGGAAGGACGGGGAGACACTGAGTGAGGATTTGGAAAGAGGAGATGCAAAGGGGCCAGAGGAGTTCCTGACTGACAGGAGAAGAGGCCGTTATTCTGAGAACAGGCTGCAGCCTGCGGGGCGGTACGGGTGTAGAAAGGCCCCTCCAGGACTAGCAGAAGTGCCGTGTGCAGCAGCGTGGAGCTGCAGGAGTCAGAGCCTGGGGCACAGAGAAGGCGCAGGGTGACCTCTAACTCAGGCTGGAGACTGGCCCAATGGAAATGACACAGGTCCCAGCGAACCTTCGACCCAGGCAGGTGGTCAGGTGCAAGGCCTGGGTCAGTGAGGAGGCTCAGGCCAGGCTGCCTGGACCGTGAGCCAGAGAAGGGACAGTTGACCTGGGTGGAGAGCCAGGGAGAGAACAAGGGCAGGCAGGATCTGTTCCAGAAGCCAGGGCAAACTTCTGTGCGGCTGGGGTGGGCCTGGCGGGCACGTGGCAACCGGGCTTAAGAGCAGGAGGAGGGAGAGCTGGGAGGGGCGGCCAACACTCCTGGGCTGGTCTCGGGGGAGCTGGTAATTAGCTTGAAAAGTCCCCGTTCTTTTCTTTCGTCTGCGAACCTGGCGCACTGTCAGGGAGGGGCCGCAGACCAGACAGCCTTTGAATGTCTCCTTTCACAGCTAGAGCTATTTTTAAGTCCCTCTCAGTTTTTCCTTTTTTGCCCCCTCTTTCCTTCAATCCACACCCTCTATACGTCCACGTCTTTGAGTGGGAGAGAGGGAGAGGTCAGACTTGTGGGTGGACCAGCTGGGCGCAGCTTCCTGTCCTGCTCCCCAAATCTCACCCTCCTGACTTGGTGCCCCCAAAACATCTGGGAAGGGTGGAACTGGTCACCCTTTATTTAGTTTGACAAAAGCCATATCAAACTGGGAGAAGGGAGGGATGCAGCACACTTCTGGAGGTCTGCTCGGCAGGAGGCTAGAGGTGGGCAATCTGGCCTCACTTCTGCCCTGGTCTTCTAGATGGGGTTTTGGGGGGTCTGATACAACAGCCTTTGGCAGGGTGGGGGCAGATCAGCAGCAGGGATGAAGATTTAAAACGTGGTTGCTCTCTGACCCATGGGAGATTCACCTAGGCAACATCCAGTTCATGTGTATAAGGTGGGTATGGACAGAGGCACTGCAAGTCACTTTATACAGAATAGTTAGAAACATTGTAAAAACTCCTCAGAAGGCGATGGACAAATAAATAAACCACAGCCATATGGCAGAGTACTATACAGCAGTGAAAAAGAAATTAACCTAAAGCTATGTCTATCAATGTGGGAAAATCCCTGAGAGACTAGTAAAGGAAACCAACCAAGTTGCCCTGAGTTTCTTGCAGTTTGATAAGATTGATGGGATAGTAACAACTTCACGAACAATACCATCCATTTTTCCACTCAAAATGGTAAATATGTAGGTAAATACAAGGGGAAAGTTCTGGAAGGATACACAATAAGCTGTGTAGCGCAGTTACTTCTGTGAGGGCTCTGGGGTTGGGGCTGAGAATCCCTGTGATAAACTCATACCGTATGCAGAGAATCCAATAGAACATGCTTTATATGATGAAAATCTGATTTTTAAAGGTGATTTCAACTTAATCTGTCATGACAGCCTCATAGAGAAGAACAAGAGGGCAGAGGGCAGGGTTGCTCAGTTCCATGGGGTAGATAAGAAGGCTGGACCCCTGGCAGTGAGGAGCAGGGACCCTCACCTCTCCCTCTGTGATGCTCCTGTCTCTACCCCTTGGCCCCTGTGTGGGCCATGTTCCTGGCTGCTCACTGGCTACCCCAGCCCTGGCCTCAGCACGATACACAGGGGCCCCTGTCACAGACGGGAGCTACCTCAGCCCCATGACCCTGGCATTATCAGAGACCTCGGGCAGGATGCTTCTCTGTGCTGGCGCTGGGTCCCACCCCAAAGCTCTGACCTCTGCTTGTTCTTTCACTGCGTCAGGCCTTGCTCCAAGTCTCCTCAGACTTGTACTTTCATCCCTACTCTGAAGCAGAGGCCGTTACTGTTTTCCTGATTTTATAGACAGGGACACTGAGGAACACAGAGAAGTTGCTCCAATCACTCAGCACACTGAGGGGCAAGGCTATGTTTGTGCCTCTTGTCCCCTCTGCCCCTGCCTCTGGCAATCTCCTTATTCCTGGGGGCAACCAAATGTGGCCTGGTGACAGGAAGGCGGGAAAGCAGGCCCACATAACACCGATGCACGCAGATGGCCCTGGAACTCCATGCTTCACCACGGTCCTGAGCAGCCCAGGCTGTGTCCTCTCCTGCCCACCTCCCACCCGGATTCAGAAACAGCAGCTCACATCCCTCCCACCAGCTGGCACTATCACTGCCCTTCGGTTACCAGCGAAGCCCCTCTTCTAGAGATTAGGTGCAGGGCCCCCTGGTGAGAAGCGCCAGGCCATGGAGGCGATGCAGGTGGTCCCAGAGGAACTCAGGGACTGTGGTGGGAATCATTGTGAGGTGGGGAGTCCTGAAGAACAGAGGGTGGCACACGGACACCCCCCTGATCCACCAGCTCACTCACTCTCCCCAGCCTGGTGCCTAGATCTGATTCCAGAGTGGGGAGAGACCCAGCATCTCAGGCTGGGGACCAAGTCCATGATGAAACCTGGTCTTTTTGCTCCCAGGTTCCACAACCCAAGGATGCCCAGAAAAAGCTAAAATCATGTCTAAATGGTCTGTACTGTGACTCGGATCCAACTTATTGAACCCCTTCAGACCCGCCCCAGCCCCAGCCCCTCACAGGTGACTTCCAGGCACGTGGACGTGGCTGTCATTCTAAAATGCTGCTTTCAGGTAATGAGACTCAGTTGTATCCCTTGGCTCCCCTCACCTCATCATTCCCATTTCACAGATGAGGAGACCGAGGCCCAAGAGTCTGAGGATCAGAATCCAGGCCTGTCTTGTTTCAAATCAGGCAGCCTTCTTCACTTCACCCACAAAGGCATGGAGAAGCCCCAGACTTCCTCCGACCTGGGAAGACCACGGCCAGGGAGGTGGCCCTGGCGTCACGGCCCCAACTCCACTGCACAGGACCCCGTGTCTGCCGTGCATCTCCCAGGGCAGCCCTGATGCTGGGCGACCCCACCTCTGGATCTGTTTCAGAGCCAGAAGGAAAGTTCCCTCCACACTGAGAGGGGATGCAGGGGCCCCTACACACCATCCTCTCCCCACCTTCACATCTCTGATGCCCCACGTCCTACCACACCTTTATCCATGAGGGCCCTACCTTGGGAGTGAGGCTGGGGTCCCTTGGAGCGCTGTCTTCCTCCTCCGAGCTCCCCTGCTCTTCATCCGATGTGAGGTCCTCCTTGGTGGCTGCCGCTGAGATGGGACAGACCTTGTAGGGCTCTGTGTAGGCACTGGAGACAGAGCAGAGGGGAGAGGGGTTAGAGCTACGGTGCAGCCAAGACCAAGTGAACAGGCAGGGCCCTATGGATGCCCAGAGTCAGCAACTGGTGTTCTGTGCCCTCCACTGAGACCCAGAAGCGAAGCACAAACCTCCCCACCCGCCAGGCTCCAGCTATGCTGGTATCCGTGTAGTTCTGTGAGTATGCCAAGCTCTTTGCTGCCTCAGCGCCTTTGCACATCCTGAGACAGACCCCTCTCCCTGTTAGAGATGAGCCAGGCTGGGATGCTGAATAATTGCAAATCACTACAAATAATTACTATGAGGGCAGGAGATGTTCAGTTGGATTAGTCTGGTGGTCTAGACCGGCGTGGTCACCCATCAGTCAGTCTCAAGGTGGCCATGTCCTCTGGGCCAGAATAAGGGATGCAGTGATGTGGAGACAGAGTTTGGAATGTACATTCCCGCCTCTCTCCTTGCCATCAGCTGGAGGCTGGACAAGATGCAGTTCAGGGAATCAGTGTCCATTGAGCTATCTGGGAAGGATCCTGCTTACTTGGCAAATGCTGTGAGGATCAATGCTTCAGAAAGCTGAAACAAGTGTGATAGCAATCTCTTATCTATATAGCTCTGTTATGCAGCCATTGCCATTAATGAATTAAATATACATGCATTCTACAAATACTTATTCATTGCAGCTTTATGCCAAGTCCAGGGTTAGGAAGTAGGAAGTAGGTACAACACTGGTGAGTAAAACAGACATGCTCAAAAAGGGAAGCTAATTCAAGATGACAGCTTGTGGCAAATGACTGAGACAAAAGCAGTGCTTTCACAGAGATGGACAAGCAGGACTGTTCAGACAGGTCAGGAAGGACTTCCCCAAGGCTGGGACCACATTGCGGAGGAGTCAGCCCCGGCAGCACGGGAGCAGAGGAGCACTCCTGGGTAGCAGAGCCACCCTGGAGAGATGAGCCTTCTTGTCTCCGACTTCTGAACCCCCACAGAGGAGGCTCCTGGCCCATGGCAACATCCTCTTGCCAGGCCCCTGCTCCCGCCTCTTGTCCCACACAGCATGGGGACTGCCGCACAGCCGAGACGGGGCCGGGGCCCTCTCCTGCTCAAACACCTTCACTGGCTCCCTCTTGCCACTGCCCATGAGGTCCCAGACAAGGTGCTCACGGACCTCTCTTCACACTCACATCTAGGCAGCCAGCCTTATACGTTCTTATCAATGTTTATCCTTTTCCTCTGGGAGTGCTGGGATGAGATGCTGGGATGATGCTGAGCGGCTGGGTGGATGATGGGAAGAGATAGGGGAGCATCTTATGCAGCCATTATGGAGGCAGGGGCACTGTTTGCCTCAGGTATGGGCCCAGGCAAGAGCGGCCAGGGTGGGGTCATCAAGAGAGGAGAAACTGAGTGACCACATGGACTGGTCCCACTCAGCCCAGCTCCCCGCCCTCCAGCACCAGCTGCTAGTTGCAGACGCTAGAGGAATGGCTCCTCCGGGTCCCAGTAGGGACCCTTACGCTCCATGGAGGAAAACCCTTAATGATAGGGACTTAACAGTGAGCTGTGCTCCTGGACCACTCCTCCTCATCAAGAAAAAAAAAATGTGCCAGGCTTTTCCTAGAATGTTCTGGAAAGGAGGAAAGGAGTCCTGCCAAACCTTCCATGGGGCAAGGGAGTCCCCATGCTCCCAGGCAGTGGCTAATCACAAAGCTGCTGGGTTGCTCATAACTGCACAGAACAGCGAGCCACACGTCACAACTCAAGACACGTTCACTCGCTGCACCATCAGCCCGGCCCCGGCTGCACACAGCAGTTCTACAGCGTACCTACACCGTCCTTGAGTCGACTCTTGTAACATTGCCACTCCCCTGGCCTCGTCGGAGTACTGACACCTGTGATGTCACAGCGTTATTCTCTTAATGCTCTAAGATGGACCATTTCATCATTGTTCTGTAACACGCATGACTGAAGGGGTCTTGCTCGCCCAGGAGATGCATGGACCTGGGGGGAGCTGAAGCTGCGGGGTCTGGCCCAGCACCGGGCGTTCCTCAACTGACCTCAGCTTTGGCCGGACCTGCGGCCCAGACACCATCTATTTTACTTCTTCCTCTGGCTTTTGTTTCCTAGAAAGATGACTTAAATCAGAAGTCAGGAGACAAGGGCTTGGTGGGCATTTCTGACTCATTTATGTCACTGTTCTTAGGGACTGTGAACACAACAGGTAAGTCTCCATTAAAAAAATACCCTTTCAGGACATAAAAGATCAAGTATAATCCAAATGCCTCTGCAGATTCAGGGAAAGCGAGAGCACTGACTTGATCTTGGATCAAAGTCATTCATCAAATAAGCAAATCAAAACATTTTGATTCTGACACTACAAGTGCCAGCACTGCTGCTCCTGTAAACACCGGGTACTGCTCCAGGCTGGTCTTCAAACACGGGGGAAACACCTCTAAGAAATGTTTTCTTAATTTCTGCCCACACGCTCCGTCCAGTCCCGGCAGAATTTGCATCCTGGCTGCGTAACCAGCCCTCCCTTGAGCCCAGACCCGACACCACACATCACATCCATCTCCCCATCCGCTCCCCTGACCCTGAGCGTCCTTCACACAGCCTGGTGCGGGGGAGGCTGGGCTCTGAGACTTTGGCTATTTAGTGGCTCTGCAGCCACTCAGATACAACCTAGACAAGCCAGTGGGGCGCGGGCAGGCAGCACCTTCACACTAGAGCCTCTGGAGGCAGAAGGCCCTCTCCCATCACAGCTAGGTGAGCCCGTCTCCAGGTCGCTTCTTTGAGCACACCGATACCTAGGAGAAAACCCTCTAAGCCAACCGCCTACGCATCTGACACACCCATCTCTGCACTCTGTCACCCATCCATAAATTCACCCACCCATCCACCCACCCATCTGTCCGATCACCCACCTACCCAGCCGTCCTTCCATCCACGCATTCCCTCACTCGCTCATTCAACAAATATCAGTTAGGACCTACTTCAAGGAGCTAACACACAGAGGAATCAAAGATGACTGTAACGTTCTCTCTGGCCTCAGAGAAAGTCAGCGCAAAGCACGGGACAGCAGGTGTGCTCAACCGTCAGGCGGCTGGAGGTGACCCCCGCTCCACCACTCTAAACAACTTACTTAAATGTCCCATGCTTCAATCGTTTGTCTTCTCGCTTTTTAAATCTGTAAATCAGGGGTGATGACATGTGCTGAGGAGAACAGGCAAAGGCCTGGAGGGTCAGCACTGTGAGCTTAGGAGACGGGGTCGCCTGGAACTCAGGCATCGGTCAGAGGAGAGTCACTGTGGGGCTTTGGGCCAGTCACCCATCCTCTCTGTTTCTTGTCTGCAAAGCAGCAGCAGTTCTGCAAGGCCAGCACGGGGTTCAGTGACAACACAAGTGTGAACATGGCCCACTCCTGCACAGAGCGTCCTTCCCAGTCAGCCCAGGGCCCATGGAAGAGCTAAGTTCTGAACCATTGGACGCATCACCACAGAGCTGTGTCCTCCCTCTGGGTCAACTTGTGCTTTAAAGGGAACATTTCCCTTTAAAACACAGAGCTCATTACCTTAAGTGACCCTCCCAACGAGCACAGTCCTCTCCAGCTGCCTGGAGTCGTAAAAGGACATGTGTGTCCACGTGGGGGACGAGTGGCTGTAATGGGTCCAGCGCAGTCCAGCTCTGCCCATTAAATCCCATCCTAGTGACACTCGCTGGGAACCAACACCACGGGCACAGCCAAAGCGACCTAATAACTCATAAAGCATGGACGCGTCCCCCGTTGGGGACCTCCCAGTGGGTGCTTCGGCCCAAACTCCATCCTGTTGGTGTGATATGGGCGAATGAAGCCAGACTGCAGCTGAGATGCCCGTGAGTCCTCCCAGATAGCTGGAGCTTTCCCAGAGCTCGCCAGGACGGCGAGGAAGGGCAGGAGGCCTCCCGGCTGAGCAACCCAGGAGCTGGCAAGTTGGAGATGGAGGAGAGAGGACGGCTGGCTCAGTGACCAAGGCCATCCTATAAGGAGAGGAGATAGAAGAGCTTGGAAGTGGACAGAGAGGTGGGCTGGGTGCAAAATCTGGGCTTCCCACATTCAGATACTCAAGCCTGCCCTGTCTCCTCCCCAGACCTCCACCCCCTCAGCACCCTCTCTGGTGCTCTGCAGGGATTAACTTCTCCAGGCCCTCCCCAGGGGGCACCTTCTACTCTGCTTCTTCCTTGTCACCCAAACTGACCCCAAGGGCCACTGAGATGTTCATGGGTACAGATATCTCTGCATTGTAATGGGGATCTTTGCTCTGAAACAGGGAAAGAGCCCAAGAGGACAGGGTCACTGGCCAGGATGCCTGGGTTCACTGCTGACCCCCTGCTAGGGCTGGGCCGCGTGACCATTCTCAGTTTCCACATCTGTAAAATGGAGATGCTGAACACAATGCCCAGAGATGAGAAGCCCCTGTGGGTCCCGCAGTGGGGGCTAGGCTCCCCAAGCAGCTGCCTGCTGGGCCGCGTCATTTCTGGGTTTCTGCTGGCGGTGGGGGGGGCGTCCCACGCCAGGGTCGGCCAAGGGATAGTGCTGGGAATGGTTCCCAGAAACATGGCTGAAGGGGAGGCTTTTTTCAAAAGTTCAATTTTCATTTTCCACTAAACAGAAACAGAAGTGTGTCCTTGCTCTCTGACCTGGGACAGCCCCTCCCGCCGCTAAAACACAGTGTCGATGGTGTCTCAGAGGCTTGCTTTCTTGTCACAAAAGCTCTGTTGCGATACAACTCACATACCATGACATTTACTCTTTTAAAGTAAACAATTCAGTGTTCTTGTATATTCACAGGCTTGTGCAACCATCAGCACCTCTGATTTTAGAACATTTTCATCAACCCCCAAGAACCCCATGCCCTTCAGCAGTCACCCGCATCCCACCCGAGCCCCTGCCAACCGCTAAGCTCCTTTCTGTCTCTGTGGACTTGCCTACTCGGGGCAGTTCAGAGAAGTGAAATCATATAG